GGTGCCCTAGGGCCTGCCCACAGCTCAGCCGCTGCCCTTACTGCCCGCTTCGGGGACAGCCCCAGCCGGAGCGGGGGGATGCTGGTGGCCTCTCTCTGGGTGGAAGCAAGTGCCTGCGAGCGGCACCGCGTCCTTGGGAGCTCGGGCTGCTGGTCCGATTGCCCTTGGCTGCCCCGCTGTAGGAATGTGCCAGAGGTCTGTACCTTCTCGTGTTTTATTGCTATGACCGTGCCTTGAATAAAATGACTTCACCCAGCCGCTGCCTGGTGTCGTCACTCCGGTGCGTCCTGCCTGGTGCCAGGAGAGGGGGGGGCCCTTGCCACTGGAGCCTGCAAAAGTCCCCAGCCCCTTTCCCCCCCTGCGGTCTGCTTTTGACCCTTCCTGGACGTGTCCTGCAGAGGCTTCAGTGGTAGACCACTCAAACACATCCCCACGTCCAGGCACCTTGCTGCCCACCACGGTCCCCACAAAAGCAAAGCCCAGCAGGTGGGCAGAAGCAGCAAAGGCATGGGAGCGGGGGAACACCCCGCCATGTCTCCTCGGAAAGGCTGGCACAGCCCTTGGCACCATCCCCAACATGGGACAGAGTGCAGCCCCGGGGCAGGCATGTACCTCCCCTGCCCCTCTGCCAGTGTTCGCCCTGCAGGCAGGGCTGGCTCCAGACACCATCAAGGGGGCACACACTGCCTGGAGGGAGCAGGAGGGTGGCCTGCAGCTCCTCTGGGACCACAGCAAGGAGCAGGGGCAGCAGGGGGATCCATCTCATCTGAGGATGGAGCAGATTTTGCCAAAGCTGAACTGCCCACCAGCAAGTCCTGGGAAAGGAGGCGAACACTGTTTTGGGAGCCTTTCTCTAGGTTTTGAGCAGACAGCACTCTTTTGTTCCCCTCTTCCCTCCCAAAACACACTCTTTATACCCAAATTCCTACCTGAATAATTTGCCTCTGGTTTCAGCAGGTCCCTCCTGCTGACCCCTCCACAGGTCCCCTGGGGTGAGCCCTGCCTGGCCAGCCTGGCTTACAGCATGAGGCAGGGGGCACAAGGAGGGCTTCCCTTTGTGTGAAAAACTCCCCTCATCACACACCCCCACAGAGGCCCCCCACGGTTCGTAATTAGTGGTAAATGGGACTAAATGCAGGGCCTTGCTGAGGCAGGAGCCCTGGCTGTGAGCGAGGGCTGTAATTGCCCCCCCGGCTCGCAGCTCTCCCGGCCCTCACGCTGGGGAAGCTCATCACAGCCCAACAAGGTTCTGCAAGCCTCGTCATGCTGTGCCTCCGCCGCTCCGGCCCTCAGAAACCTGCTCGGCCTGATTACAGCCTGCACATACAGAAGGCCCTCATGGCCAGGGCCAAGCAATTGCATGGCGTCTCCCATGGCGCCGGCTGGCAGCGGGCAGTGCCGGGAGCACCCCCGCCGGGCAACAGCCAAGGCAAAGGGGCGGTTTGTGGGACCCGTGGCAAACCTCTGTGCTGGTGCAGGGAGTCAAAGATGGGGCTACTGCTGGGGGGTGCCGCGGTGGCCCTTCCCAACAGGAGTTGGGCTCCCACTGCCAGTCCTGAGGCTGGCAGCTGTGCTCCAGGCCAGGAAGAACTGGAAAATTTATTTTAGCAATGAACCACAGGGAGGATTTCTTTGCATTCAGATCTCTGCTGCCCTCCTTGCCCTTTGCCAGTCCATCACACATGGCCCTGCAGAACAAGCCCCATCCTAAATGTCGCCAAAGGCAGAGCAGTGCGGCTTTCCCAGGATGCTCACCATGCTCTCCTGTGGTAGGACTGGGATTTCCGGCCCTCAGGAGATGCTACTACAAACCCCAAGCTGGCTTGCCCGCTTTAGGGACCATCCTTCTTCAGTGCTAAATGCCCAACTCTCCCAGGGCTGGAAACCCACCGTGTCAAAGCTAGAACATGCCCCAGGAAGGGGGAGACAGGACCTCCTGCGTCCCCACCGGTTGCTCCCTGGGGCAGGGCTGCTGGGGCGGCTCCACAGTCCAGCTGGCAGGGTAGATGCTGCATGGAACTGGGCAGGACTTCGCTGCAAGGCCGTGCCCTGCTGCTGCAGGCAACCAGCAGTGGGTGACCAGCAGCAGGTGAGCCGATGCTATCGCAAAGAACGAAAGCATCAGCTGAACAACAGAAAAGGGATTTTTAGGCTGGTTGCTTAAAACTCTTATTCCATTAGAGATCATTAAATTTGAAGGGTAATGAGCAATCAGCAGCAGGACGGCTTTGCTAGTCCCTCTGCTGCTCACCCATTCAATTACAGTGCACAAAAGCTCCCAACAGACATTTGGTGCTGGATGCCTTCTCATGTCAGTCAAGCTGGACTACACAAGTGCTCCCAGTGACTACTATCTCCAAAGCTAGAGCTATCAAGAAACCAGTAAACCCCTCTCTATCATCCTTTTTTTTTGGCTTGCTTGGGCCTTTTATATTAAAATAAACATAAGGCAGCAAAAAGGGCCGAGACTCACTGTTGTTCTTTATTAAACGGTGCAGCTGGGTATAAGAGGCACAGAGACTACTTCAGTTCTCTTGGAGTTACACAAAACGTGGTACAGAATAGGAGAAGTCAAGGAGCTTGGAAAGCTAGAGGGAGCAGGGATGGTTTGGGGCAGTAACACCCGCACCCCACCCATCACACAGCTGCCTACTTGTCACACAGAGCCAGAAGGTCCCCCCCACCAGTGATGATGAAGGCTGATGCCCCAGAACAGGGTTGAAAAGAGGACGTCCCCATTCCCAAACCCTCCTGCCCCATACCATGCCATCACAGCTAGCGCCTCCCCCTGGCCCCAGCTCCTCCATCCCTCACTGCCTAGCATGAGAATGGGGAGGACCTTATCCGACCCAGCTGACAGAGAATGCCATGGGCCAGGATGCACAACACCACGCCGTAGGACTGCAGGAGCAGAGCCTGGTACCACGTGGAGGACAGCGAGCATCCTACATGGGCATGTTCACTGCCTGTCCACAACACGCCTCAGCTCCCCTCCCAAACACAGCTGGAGGGCTCCTTGCTTGCTGGAAGCCCACAGCCACCACCAGGCCTGGTGGCAGGG